AGCGGAGCTGTAGGTAATTGAATGCTATTTTGGTTTGCTCGGTTATTCGTGTGTTCTGGACGGTGTGACCCATGGTGGGTCATCGAGTGATGGTCTTAGTTACTGACTTGACCCATCAGTGGGCCATCGAGTGATGCTATAATTTGTTGACGTGACCCACTGTGGGTCATCGAGTGACGCTCTTATTTTCTGACGTGACCCACTGTGGGTCATAGAGTGATGCTCTTAGTTACTGACGTGACCCACCAGGGGTCATCGAATGATGCTATACTTTACAGACGTGACCCACCATGGATCATCCAGTGATGCTATAATTTTCTAACGTTACCCACCAATGGGTCATTCCAGCATAGATAGCAAAAAAGATTGAATAAACATATCATTTTATAATGATCATTCTATCGTTATTTCACAAAAATCTTAGCGTTTCGTGAATTTTTCTGTCATTCTGAGCGTGTTAAATCTTCGATTATTTGAAACTGATTAGAAAATGTGTGTCTACGCAGCCTGAATTAATTCGAATAAATTCCTGTGCGATCGTTCGTATTAATGTGGAGGAATTTCACTAACGTCTAGGTGACGTGGCATACCGCAGAGTGGTTGCCTCTTTCGCCTCGTTCTTTGTGAAAAGGTACGTCGACGATATGAGCAGCATAGAATTTACCACAACAGTGGGTTTCGACCAAGTTTGTGTGATCGTCCCGAAAGCAGGCAAAATACCAAAGGGTTTGAGGATGTTCTACATCTTCGAGTCGTCTGTATGGCTCTATATATTACTGTCTTACATTCTAGTGTACTTTACGTGGTACTACGTTCAACTATTTTCACCGACAGGGTACGTACTTCTAACTTTTCTCGTTACTGTTTAACTTAACGATGAAGTGGTCTTAAAATCACGTTTATCTCAAACAAGACAAATCACGTTTGTCCATAAATGTGAATTTATAGAGTCATTTTTTAGTTGGAAGGGTTTCGTCGAGTTTTCAGATATAAATTTGTTGGACAATTTGTTGATAGATTGATTAATCCTTTTGCGTTTAATATTTTCGACGAGATATCTCGCGAACTGAGTCATACTTTGGGAGAGATATCTCGCCAACTGAGTAAATCTTTGGACGAGACATCTCGCGAACAGAATAATAGTTTGGACGAGATATCTCGCGAACTGAGTAAATCTTTGGACGAGATATCTCGCCAACTGAGTCTCACTTTGGACGAGATATCTCGCCAACTGAGTCATACTTTGGACGAGATATCTCGCCAACTGAGTCTCACTTTGGACGAGATATCTCGCCAACGGAGTCATACTTTAGGAGAGATATCTCGCGAATTGAGTAACACTTTGGACGAGATATCTCGCGAACTGAGTCAATCTTTAGACGAGATATCTCGCGAACTGAGTCTCACTTTGGACGAGATATCTCGCCAACTGAGTCATACTTTGAGAGAGATATCTCGCGAACTGAGTAAATCTTTGGACGAGACATCTCGCGAACAGAGTAATAGTTTGGACGAGATATCTCGCGGACCGAGTCACACTTTCGACGAGATATCTCGCGACTCAAAGTTCCTTATTTTTACGCTTTGAATTTAACTATGCCGCACATAGAATATTCCTCAATTTTATATTATTATCATCAAGTTATCATCACTTACACTACACTCTACATCCTCCTTACCATCACTATCACAAACAATTCAATTTTTCATTCGTCAAACCTTCCCCTACTACAGCAGAGAATACCACGTGAAAAATTAAGTTATAGACTCGACACAAACGTGAGATATCTCGCTCCAAATATCCGATATCTCGTGCAAAAGAATCATGAAAAAATCAGTTCACTTCATACCTCTTGCACGGATACAAAAACTTTAATAAACCTTTTATACCCTCGTATCCCAACCTCATCAATTTATCGTTAATCTTTCAGGTCCAAAAGTAACAGACAAACGACAGCGTTTCACGTGTTCTTCGTTTGCACAGGCTATCCAGTCACTCTACCCTTAACAACCTCTAAAAGATGTCTTCTATTAGGCATACTTTTCTCCAGTATAACGATAGTAGGAATATTCAACGGGATTCTGTATAAATCTTTCGCGAAGGACATGTTTTACAAGGATATCAACAATTTAGCGGAATTAGACGCCTCTGGATTACCAGTTGGATTCCTTTCCTACAGTACAGTGGATATATTCGGTACGAGAAACGAGCCTAACTTGAGTCGAGTGTCGAAAAGTTTACAGACGAAACTGATACATTTGCAACGACCTATCGAAATGGTGGCGTTTCATCGCAACATCAGCGGCCTTCTCAGGGAACAGTATTTCTCTTTGATGCACGAGTCGTTGATAGACGCAACTGGGACGCACATGTTGCACCTTGTTACAGAGTGTCCAGGTATACTTTGGATAATGTATGATATTTTTTTGAAAAATTCAAGCTTTTTATCTTGCACTCTTTTTTTTTTACATTTTTTACACTCTCATAGTGTACGTTGAAATGCTTAAAATACGCTTCACAGAAATTTGAGGTGAATTGTTTAACCCTTTCGTGACCTGTGTAGCGCATTTTTGGTATTCGAGAATTGGTTTAAAAATTGACCTGGATTTAGTGTCCATTAGAGACACGACGATTGGTAGATAAATATTAAATTCTTGAAAAATATTAAGCGTTGGAAACTGAAAGCATTGCGTAATTTATCCCGAGTTATTTAACCCTTTCGCGACCAGTGGAAACGCATTTTGAGCGCTCAAAAATTGATCTCACTTTAGTATCCATTGCAGACGCGATGATCGACAGATAAATATTAAATTATTAGAGAAAAAATAAGCATTAGAAATTGAGAGCATTGCGTAATTTGTCGTGAATTATTTAACCCTTTCCTAACAAGTGGAACGCATTTTAAACTTAAATTTTAGGCCTAACTTTCGAAAATTTCAAACACTGATCTAAATTTCAAAAACTGACGACCGATGATCGCTAGATAAACATGAAATTCTTAAAAAAATGAATCTAATTTAGATTTCCAAACAAACACATTCCAGCCAGATTTTACTTAGCCTGCCTGATACCGAGCAACTCTTTCCTCCGCGAGAGGTTGAACATCGTGATCGGCAGATTGAATCAAGCAGGTCTTCCGACGTTGTGGCAGAAGACAACAATCCAGGAGAAAGCTCTGAAGATGAAGCTCAACATCCAGAAGGATCGCAAGCACGAGAAGCAAATCTTCGTTGCGTTCCAATTGTGCGACTTACAAATCTGCCTCTTCATACTCGCAACTGGTCTATTCTCATCTACCGTGGTGTTCTTTCACGAGAAAGGTTTGCTGAGATTCTGTTTCAAGAAATGAGCTAAACACTCCTCTCCTCTCTTAATTAACCAATAAAAATTCCAATCAAACACAACGTTACGTACACCCCTTTCGTTCCCTCAACCCTTTGAACTCCAAATTTTTCTTTTAAATTCTCTTTTCAATAACTCCCCACTATTTTAAGGATTTCATTTGAAATGCACCTCAAAAGACGTTTGGTTGATAGGAACCAATTTAAACAATTTTTTTTTCATAATTATAAGGAAAATAGCATAAAATTACATGCAAAATAGCATATGTGTACCTGTTGCTCATCCAGGTAAAAAAAAAAATATTGCAAAATATAATATAACATATTTAAACTGGCAATTTAAAAACTCGTCCCTCATTCATACCTGTGAATAAAACTGAGGAGTCCAAAGGGTTAATAAATACACATTTTAACACCTTCCCGTTTAATCTCGTAGTTTCTTTCTCCATTAGAATAACGATAATGTCGAACCGAGAGTGACACTGAAAATCCACCGATTTTTGTATAATGTTGATTCGGGGAATTTTCCCCAGTGAAAACGGCCGTCAAAGCGTCCTTTTAAAAATCCTCTACGCGATAACAGACGGAATATCGCGAAATCAATTCGGTATATTTCACGCGAACTCGCTGAATGGGCCATTTTAAACAATTTTCCATGTCGCAGTCGGGACGTAAAGCTCTCTGTTGCCCCGTTCGAGAGCTAGATTTCATTTCTATGCTATGATGAATAATGCCTGGAAAAACAACGGGACGCTCGCCTTTGTCGATAGAAAAACCCCGAATATAGAAAACCTTTTGGATAAACGAAATTGGAAAAAAATAATATTATTCTACTTCTATTACTCGTATTGAAGCTGGTTTATTCGATTTAGAAAAAATGTTCCGACGATAAATACTTTATTCGTAATCTTATTTGTGCTTATACACTGGGTGTCCTGGAAAATTTCATGTAACAAAAAGTTCATAAGTAACTTTACTAAAAAAGTTGTAACAGAAATACGAAAGTATAGAATATTTTGAAAATATTTTTTTTGGAACTTCGCAGTGAAACATTTATGAATATTTTTGTTACATGAAATTTTAATCTTCTTTTTACCTATAGAACATACGAATTTTGTATTAAAAAAATAGGATATGTAAATTTTTGATTCGATATATTTTATAAGTATTTTAATTTAAAAAAATTATTTGGAGGTTAGAATCTCTGTTTACCATAGAATTCTTATCGATCGAGCTCCTACTGTTACTTGTACGACATCAATTCTATAGGAGACGCGACAGAAACGAGTCTTGTTACATCTCTCATGGCTATTCGATGCTTTCCAAGAAACCTAACTTCCAGAATCGACGAGATTAGACGAGCGACGACGATCCGCCAGTGTTGATGCCACTTGAATGGCCACCGTAGAGCGCGGAGTCATCGAAAAACTCACCGTTCAACGGGATAATATTTCACTGATGCTAACGTTATCGAGGCGTACGAGTAGTTTGCGGCCTTTCGAGCTTTCCAGGCTGTGTCTATCTTGTTCTCTCTCTCGACACCGCGAGAATTAGTCAGCGAAGCGGCAAAGGAAACGGTGGTTTATTTTAGGGAACTCTGAAAATACGCTTACACGTCCCCATCGTAGAAGCTCAGTTGCTTGTCGTTTGCATCGCGATAGGAAGATGGCTGTTGAACGGTGTCTACTCTCGGTGATAACGATTTCGATCGGTACGTACGTTTTTCCCGCATTTTTCTACGCTCCTCTTCTTTCCGTCATTTCACTAAAGCCAGATGAGGAGAACAGAAGATCGAGCGTGAAGGGCTGTTTGTTTGTCGCAGCTTGGTTCGTGTTTCTCTCGAAGTTATGGTATTTTGAGAGAGGCATGGAATGCTAGGAATCGAAATTAACGAACGTGAGGAACGATGACTCGAAATTAATAAGCGTGGGGAATGGTAATTTGGAATTAACAAATGTGATGAATGTTAATTCGCAAACTTAACAAACGTGGAAAATATTATTTCGAAATTAACAAACGTAAGAAATGTTAATTCGCAAACTTAACACACGTGAGACATAATATTTCGAAATTAACAAATGTAAAGAATGATAATTCGAAGTTAACAAACACGATGAATATTAATTCTCAAACTTAACAAACGTGAAGAGTGATAATTCGAAATTAACAAACATGAGAAATAATATTCCCTCCTCTTCTTTCATCCATTTTTCTAAAGTCAAAAATAGGAATACAGCACATCGAAGGTAAAGGCTGATTGCGTTCCAGCTTTGTCCGTGCTTCTCTCGAAATTCCCGCATTTCGAGAGGAGCACAGAATGGCAAAGGACGAAATTAACAAGCATGAGGAATAGTAACATCGAGTGACGCTTGAAAACACAATGGAAAAATACAAAAATATCTTGTCGTCTGATCCTCAACAGCGAAAATGTCGAGCACAGATTTCTGTTACGTATTCCAACGCCGCGTGAATTTCACCCGATAATTTCGTTAAACAACGCCCAGCGTTCGTGAATTGAATTTTTTAACTTTCAACGGCGGTTATTTTAGTAACGCTCTTTTTCCTTTCCTTTTTTGATTCGAGACGCGCAACGCGTGCAAATAAACCGAAACAGGGTGAATTATTTTCAAACAATAGCGTAGCCGTTCGAAACATCCGATGAATGACGATTAAAATTAAGCAGTTTACCTCGGTCTCTAATCGAACCAGCCTTTGATCGTTTCAATTCCGCAACGGAATAATCCATATTTTTTTCTTCTTCCACTAGGTTTGTCGCCGATTTTCGCGTGGAATCCCGATATTCACCGGTACGTAAACGACATTTTTATTCACGGTTTTCCCACCGCTGAAACACAAACAAATCCTTCCTCGTGAAAATTGCAATTTCTTTTCCGAGAACTTCAATCAAAATTCAAATCAGAACACACCACTTTTATTAACTTCTCTCATTACTTTTAACGTCAACGTAAAAACAATCAAATCTTCTCCGATGTCAAAATAAAAGAACCTAACCTATTTTCTCGCACAAGTTACGAGAGCTACGATCTCGAAAGGGGGCCAGTCTTCTACGAAGCCTACTATCCAGACAGCAACGAAGATTCACGTTCCAATTATCAGGAGAAATTTTACTTCGATCGTGGTACAGTCCTGGAGAAAACCTACCAATTACCATCAGAACGTCTCCCCTATCAAGAGAACAACGTTCAACTGGACAACTATCAAACAAGACCAGACAATTACCTTCAAAACGACGATAGGTTTACTCTTGAGACGAACACTCAGCCTCTGGACATAAAAGAGATCTCGAAAATAGCCAGGAGGGCGATATCCAGGGATCTGGAAAATTGGAACACCATCGAGAATTATCTGGATCGCGCCAAATATCAAGATCCCGTGTATCGGCGACGTGTCGTCGTTCCCGAGCAAGGATACAGATTGGAACAACCGATTCACGGTATAGGGGCGAATTTACAAGACCCGCTGAAGCCACAGCGCGATTTAAGGAGGGATTTATATGAAGAAGTTCGTGAGGAACCTTTGAGTTTACCCAATCGCGTTCAATCAAGCGAGAATCAAAAAGATTCGAGCGTGATCAGAAGACTGACTGCTCGTGACATAGGCAGAGATTCTGTAGGTGGTTTCAGACCGATTCGTTATGAGAATCAACTGCCACGCGAACAGGAAGTAGTGCAGGCTGTTAGAACGAACGAGATGAATGTTGCTTCACTGAAAGATACGAATCCAGCGAATTCTAGATCGATCTTAGACCCTTATCCAACGGAGAATATCTTTGCACCACGACCGCAAGTGATTAATTATATCTTCTCGAGGAAACCAGAAGTGACCACAGAGAACAAGGTGCAGAGCGTGTCTGAGGCGAAGGAAACGAGTGAAACTATACCGAGGAATTACGGAGATAATTTAATTCAGGATGAAATAAAGAAGTCAGAGGAGGATAAAGATGTGAAGGTAACATCTATTGAAGTTAGCGAGGTGCCTAGGCATAAGACGCGCCATCATCACGGCGAGTGGCCTAAACGTGACTACTCACGTCGTCATCAGTCATAAAATCGATGATTTTTAATCGCTGAAAAATTATCATTGATCGATTGTTAAATTTGGGGATAAGTTATAAGGGATGATGTAAGAGGTATAATGTTTTCTCTACAGTCGTCGTATGGTTGAAATATTTATTCAATATAGTACTCTACTGCAATAATACAATTTGTTCTATTACAACTTGTACATATTTCACTAAGCCTTACACGTTTAAATGTCACTTTATCGTCGTATTAGTTTTAACTATGTACGTACTAACAAGTGATATAGGAATATAGGAATCTGCTTTTTCGCGATCGTAGAAGCAACAACACGTTCATCTCAATCTCATATTCGAAAAATGAAATTCGACCAGAAGTGTGTGTGTATGCATGTGTGTGTGTGTGTGTGTAGAAATATAGTGGCGCGAAGAATTTCAAAAATGCTGACTTTTTTAACATTACAATATAGGAGAATACATTTTTGTTTGATACTTTGAATACAATTTTTTCTAAAAATAGTTCCAAATGAATAGAACACGTGAGATTCGTCTAATCGATAGCAAAACTATTAAACGGAATGTTTACACAACACTTTCTATTCTTTGATGAAATGATAATATTATATCAGTGGTATAACTGAATGTATGAATGAATCTTGAATGCAATGTAATCATTGTATAATATCTGATACAAAAGCAAGTACAAGGACAAAACCACAAGTACTTTATTAAGTAACCTACGCTATTGGAACACAACTTCTTCTGGTGAATAGTCTCAGTTATTAACTACATCTAAAACATTATATTTAATTTTCCAATTATTTTTTCTTTTTTTTTTTCTTTTGGATATCTAGCCTGTACTAAACTTCTATCTTCCATGCAAATTGACTGTCCCTATCGTATATTTGACAAGATATCATAATCTAGAATTATTTCACGTCCTTTCTACATGTACTCAAGACAAAATAATCAAACAGCTTAAACACCATCATGTGTATAGCATGCAGATACTTATTTTATTTTATATTCTGCAAAGTATTAAGAACATGTGTATTAGTAATATTAGTTGATACATACAATATGCAGGCAGTATTTATTGTACCTACTTCAGTTCCAAATTTGATATAATAAACTCTCTTAATTTCTGATATGCTTCAGAAAAGTTATCATTTTCAATCACTATATCAAAATTACCATTCTGTTCACCTAAGGTAATTGTGAAGTATACACATTATTTGAACTCTAAAAAATTAAACAATGGGTCAGGAAGCAATACCTACCATATTCCATCTCTGTTCTAGCAATAGTTAACCTACGTTGCAAAGCATCTTCCGTTTCTGTTTTTCTTGCTCTCAATCTTTTCTCTAATTCCTCAATAGATGGTGGCTTAATAAATATGTATAAGGGATCAAGACAACTTTGCTTAACTCGTTCCACACCTTGCATATCAATATCCAATACACAAACTTTACCTGCTTGCCTAACAGCTTCTACTGCACATTTGCTAAAGACATAATAAGAAAATTTATGCATATTGTAATTGGTATGATTCTGTTGGCATTTTAACAAGGTTAAACTTTTACCTGGTACCATACATATTTCCGCCAAATATAGCAGTTTCAATAAATTTACCCTCTTCTATCTGCTTCTGCATTTTATCTACAGTTGTAAAATGATAGTGTTTCCCATTCTTCTCACCTGATCTGGGTGCTCTAGTTGTATGAGAAACAGAATAACCAAATGTATCTGGGTGTTCTTTTAAAAGCTTTCTTATCAACGAACTCTTTCCACTTCCTGAAGGACCACACAAAACTAATGGACGTGGACCCTTATGGAACATACTATAGGCAGCTAAAAATAATTATGTTTAAAACAGGAAATGAAAATGTTACTTCAAGAAAATTCAATCACATTGTACCTAGTAAAGTAAAAGATAACATACTTTCCCGTATTTATAATTCAATTATTATTCATACGATCGAAGAAAATGTGTAAATATAAGAGCGAACGGATTGCGAACTTCACATACATGAATTCTCACTACCACATCCACGTGTGGCGTCATAAGCTACGGGAGTCTGACCTAGGGAAAAACGTACACGATGTTTTTCCCGCGATAAAGTCCCTACACACGTGTATATTCATCTGCAATCTATTGTCTCTTATTAGAAGTCTAAGATAATGTGGATGCTAGTAGAAATATGAAACAAAATATAACTTTAACATGATTGAAAAATAGTTTAGATTAAAATAAATAGTAAAATAACTAACAAATTGCACATGCAAGCTATTACTTTTTCTCGTAAAAATATTTGTTATTCTGATAACAAATATAAATTACTTTTATAATGGTGAGTGTACACTTGCAAGTTATAATGAAATAATTATCACATTTCTTAGATAATGATTACGTAAATGTTTATGCATGCATATTAAGTTTGAAAATAAAATTTGACGTAAATTCGACTTCAATGCATGATTACAAAAAAACATCGATCATTTTAAGTGCGATTTATTAAGTAAAATTGTTTTATT